CTGCGGTGTCCTGGACCACCGTCACGGATAGCGTCCGCGCTCAGGGACCCCCCCCTGCGCACCCCCCATGGTGTCGAGAAAGCACCACGCCTGCTATGCCCTGCACCATGGCCCGCATAGACGCCGCCCTCAGGGACCACCCCCTGCGCACCCCCTATGGTGTCGACAAAACCCCACGCTTGCGGTGCCCTGGACGACCGTCGTGCTGTGCTGTGCTGTGTTGAGCTGAGCTGAGCTGTGCTGTGCTGAGGTGCTATGCTGTGCTGTGCTGAGCTGTGCTGTGCTGAGCTAAGCTGTGCTGTGCTGAGCTGTGCTGCGTTGTGTGAGAAGGAGAAGGAGGAGGAGGGGAGGTGAGTGAGGATTGCGGGTGCGACGCGGCAGGGATGAAAACCAGAACCCCACGAAACATGTGGGGAATGAAAACCCCTGCCCTGGGGAAAGGGCCAGGCTCCCCAGGGGTCCCGCGTGGAAAAAATCGAGACATCGGGCGTCCCGCATCCCGCTGCCGTCGTACCGCAGCAATGCTTGCAACGCAAGGCCCTTTGACGCACACTTGGATGCCCCCCGCTCGAGTGGGCTCGCTCGCCGCTCCGCCCCTGTGCTGGTCCGACCTGGTCTGCGCCTGCAGCGCCTGCAGCCTTTGCCTCAGCCCCTGCGTGTGAGCGCGGTGCCGCTCCGCGTCCGCTGCCAGGGCGCCTCGGCACTGGCCGGCCGCACCGGCCGCTCCTGCCGGAGCTCTTCGTGCAGCGGGTGCCCTCCCCCCGCGCCCGGCCTCCGCGGCCGCCCTCTGTCCCTCCCCCTCTCGTGCTGCCGGGCAGTTCGTGCGCTCCCGCCCGGGCCACCAGGGCGCGCGTGCAGATTGCCTCTGCCGCGCCGCGACGGGAAAAGGGGTGTCTGGGATGCGGGCGGCCCGATGCCATGCGTGGCGCTGCTTCGCATTCTGGCGCCCTCTGCCCCCTCGTCCCTCCCTGGCCGCTGCACCTTCTTCACGCTGGGCGTTTGCGCCTGGCGTCGGGCCTCGAGACCATCACCTGTCGAGCTGGTTCGATACATGCCGAGTGCGCCAGGGCTCTGGTCGTGCCTTTCGCGACGTTGCAGTTTGTCGCAGCGTCGGACCTCAGGGCTCTGCCGCTGCACCCCTGCTCGTCTTTCCACCGTCTGCCCCTCGGCCCTTCGCCCCCGCCCCGCCCCCTCCCCCCCCCCTCTGCCCCTCGTTCCCCTGGTCGTTCTGCCGCCTCTCGGCCCGCTGTGCCGCCTCGCGCCCCCTCGGCCCTCCCCCGGGCCGTCTTCCTCGCCTTCTCTGCAGCCAAGACGCTCGACTGGCTCGGGCGGGGCCCTGGCCTTCGGGGGCCGCTCCCCGGATCCAGGTCCGGGAGCCTCTTCGTGCCCGAGGCCCGCCGCGGCCCGGGGACGCAGGCCTCCTCGTTCCCCGCTCCGCGCTCCCCCCCGGCATGGCGATGCCCGCACGTCATCCTCTGGCGCGTGTGGCCCTCTCGGCGGCACCTCGTGCGGCGTCCCTGGCTCGCCCGGCGGCCTTCGGTCTCGCGTCGTGGGGCCGCGTGGGCGGTGGCTCTACTGCAGCGATCGTCGGTGCCGCTGCTCCTTCCCACCACGTGCGCACGGCTCGACTCGCCCGAGTCGGCGTCCCTCGCCCTCGCTCTCCCCGCCGTCGGCCTCGAGCCTCCCCTCGTCTGGTCCTCGGCCGCCCCCCCCCCCACCGCCTCCTCCTCCTCCTCGCTCCTCCTCCTCCTCGCCCCTCTTCCTCGCCCACTGCCCTCGCCCCGGCTCCTCGCTCTCCTCGTATCTCTCCTGCTCGCCGCCGCCGTCGCTGCCTCGCCCCTCGCCCTCGCTTCGAGCCCTCGTTGACCCCCACAGGCCCTCTCCAGGGCGCCTTTCGCGCCAGCATCGGTGCTGCGCCAGCCACCCTGCACGGGCTGCCACCTCTCGCCCGGCGGCTGCAGGCTTCGCTCGCTTGTTAGTTCATTCGTCGTCGTCGTCCTCCTCCTCCTCCTCCTCGTCCTCGTCCTCGTCCGATCCTTTCGGCGGCGCGCCGAGGGGGCGAGCGAGTGGGGACAGGCCTGCCCGAAGGCCGCGGGGTTTCGGAGGAAGCCCTTTGGCCTTCTGGAACGTTCCTGGTGGTTTCGGAGGATGAGAGGGCCCCGCCCCCTCTGTTCGGGCGACGAAAGCCATGTATATGATATGCATATGATGATGCCATCCATGATATGCATATGATTTGATCTGCATATGATATGATATGCATAGCATATTCGCCGCTCCCTGGCCATGCCCACCCTGAACCCAGGAGCTGTGCATAGTTCTGTCCTCCTGGCCAAGCCAGGAGGGCGTGGCGTAAGCACCGCTCTGCTGGGTTCAGGGTTGGCCTGGCCAGGGAGCAGTGTAAGTCTTTCTATATGTCTGTCTTTCTGTCTGTCTATCTGTTTGTCTGTCTTTCTGTGTGTCTGTCTTTATGCATGTATGCATGCATACATGCATGTAACTTGTAGGTAAGTAGACAGGTAGGCATGTGTGTACATATATAGCTATTTTTTATAGGTGCGCATGTATGTCTGTCTGTATGTCTGTCTGTATGTATGTATATATGTATTCATGTATGCATACATGTATGTATGTATGTCTGTATGTATGTATACATGCATGTATGTCTGAACGTATATACATTTGTGTATACATGTATGTATGCATGTTGTATGCATACATGTATGCGCGCATGTATGTATGTATATATGTATGTATGCATGCATGCATGCAGGTATGTATGCATGTATGTATGTAAGGATGTATGCACGTGAGTTGTCATGCATGCATGTCTTACATGCATATGTATATATACGCAGGTTCTCGGACCTGTATGTGTGTATGTATATGTATGTATACACGCATACATGCATGCGTGCATGTATTGATGTATGTGTGTATAATTGTATGCGTGTTTTTATGTATGAATGAATGTTTGTATACATGTAGGTATGCATGTATATAGGTATGGAATAATGTATCAATATGTTTTCATGAATGTATGCATGCACGTATATATGTATGCATCTGCAGGAATGTATGCATACATGTATGCATGCACGAATGGATGAATGTATGATGCATGCATGCATGTACATATGCATGTATGGCTGCATGCATGTGTGTATGTAGGTAGATCGGCATGTATGTGCGTATGCATGTATATTGCTATGTATGGGCGTATATATGTATGTATACATGTGTGTATATATGCAGATGTATATATGTGTGTGCACATACATGTAACTCTCTTCGCCCTAGAGATGGCCCTGCCCCCTCTGCGTTCATGAATGTATGTATGTGTGTGTGTATGCATTATTGCTGGTATGCATCTGTATGTATGTATGCTTGCACGCATGTATGTATGTACGTATGCAGACATGCAGGTAGGTAGGTAGGTGTGCATGTATGTGTGTATGCGTATGTATGTATGTACGTACGTATGTATGTATGTGTGTATGTATGTATGCACGCATGCATGTGTGTTCGTTTGTTTGTATGTATGTTTGTGTTTATGTACATATTCATGTATGTATGTAGGTATGCATGTATGTATGTATGCATGTAGGTTCGTATGCCTGTATTTATGTATGTCTGTATGTATGCATGTATGCATGCATGTATGCATGTATGTATCTATATGTATATGTCTGTCTGTCTCCCTGTCTGTCTGTCTGTATGGATGTATGTATGTGTGTATATATATGCACGTATGTATATGTATATGTATATGTATATGTATATGTATATGTATATGTATATGTATATGTATGTCTGTCTGTCTGTCTGCCTGCCTGTCTGTCTGTCTGTCTGTCTGTCTGTATGTATGTATGTATGTATGTATGTATGTGTATATGCATAGACGTATTTTTCCGACATATCTTCTCACATCTCTCTCTCTCTTATATATATATATAGATATAAAAGATCTCGTCGTCCTAGAGATGGCCCCGCTCCCTCTGCGTTCCCCCCCCTCTGGGGCTCGCCGCGACTCCCTCGCCCTCGCCCTCGTCCGTGGCCGTGTTGGCTCGGCCCGCGGTGGCCCCCCACCGCGCCCGGCGGGGCCCGGCGGGGAGGGCCGCCTCGCCCCGGGGGGCCACGGCGCCGCGCCTGCCGAGGGCCTCTGGCGCAGCGGGGATGGCAGACGCCGCTGGCGCGGACGAAACCTCTCGGGAGCGTCCGAGGAGGGGGGCGTCCTCCTCCTCCTCCTCCTCCTCCTCCTCCTCCTCCTCCTCCTCCTTCTCCTCGTCCTCCTCCTCCTCCTCCTCGGCCTCCTCCTCCTCCTCCTCCTCCTCCTCCTCCTCCTCCTCACCCCTCACCCCTCACCCTTCGATACATATCCACTGCTCCCCCTGGCCAGGCGCACCCCGAACCCAGGAGCCGTGTGTACGCCCTCCTCTGGCCGAGCCAGGCGGGTGAGGCGTAGACGCCGCTGCTGGTTTCAGGATGGGCCTGGCCAGGGGGAGCAGTGGAGATGTATGGATGTCGTCGCCCTCGGGTGAGGACGAGGGCAGGGACGAAGCCAGGGGGGGACAGGCCCAGGGGGAGATGCATCGACCCCCAGTCGCCCGTTGACCGCCGAGAGGCGCGATAGCCCAGCCCCGCCCGAGACCGTGCGGATTCGCCATCGGGGGCTTATCGCCGATCTACGAGCGATGTATCGCCAATGTCGCGTCGATGTTTCCCTCCCTGAGCCTGGTCCTCCGTGGCGGTTCCCTCACGTTCCCCTTAACTGTTTGTGCGTGTGTGTGTGTGTGTGTGTGTGTGTGTGTGTGTGTGTGTGGCACTTCCATCTGACGTCCGCGCCAGAGGATCCTCTGCGCCGTCGACGAAACAAGTGTGTGTGTGTGTGTGTGTGTGTTTGGACGTCATGGCCCGGGCCACCAGATCTCGCTGCTTTCGTGGCCCCTCCTCTTCTTCCAGCGCTTTCCCCAGACCCCCCCCCCCTCTCGTCCGCGCAGGTGCCTCGGACCATGGTGCGCGAACCCCCTTCTTCCTGGCCCCCCGCCTTCGGCGCACCCGAACCTCTCGCGCGGTGGTGCAGGGCCTGAAGTCCCTGTACACGGAGCTCGGGCAGTGCCAAGGGGAGTCGCCACCGGATCGATGCAGCAACACGGGTTCGACTGCTGCGTTGGCCTTCGCGCGTAAGCTGCCTGCGCAAGGTGGCGTGGAAGCGCCCCCGCGTTTCCACTGTAGCGTGTCGCGCTGGCAGGGGCCGCGTGAGCCGCGGCGCGGCGCCAGGTCGCCGTGCCATCTTCCGTGGGACGCGTTTCTTTTCGTCGTTCATTCGGCGGGGCCGCCACCTCCTCCTGGAAATCGAGGGTCGAAAAGAAGGTGTGGTTGGGGTTGAGGATCGGGGAGATTTCGGGCGCTTGCGAGCGTCCCTGGGGTTCTGGGGGGTCCTGGGGCTGGCCCACGGGGGTCCGTACCCAGACTTCTGATGTCTTGTTTTTTCACTCCAGGGTCCCCGGAAGTGCCGACCCTGACCCCAGGGCCGGCTTTTCGCCCCGATTCGTCTTTACGGTCTTGGTCGACTACACGTCAGAGTGACCCTTCGCCTGCATGACCTTTGGTGCGGGCCCATTGGGGCCCCCCCGATCGCCGAACGCGATGAAATAGTGGCGTCTTGCGCGCTTGTGTTTGGTCTCCCCGCGGCATCTCAAAGGCCGCGCACCAAAGTTCCTCTTACCCAGGGTCACTCTTGCGCGTAGCTGACCTGGGGCCCAGTCTACGTATTGAGCTCTGTGTCAACGCGTTCTGGGTTGCGTGCTGCATATCGGGGCAGCTGAGGCCAGGCGAGGGCCACCCGGGGCCGAAGCCAGCCGAACACCCTCCGCCGTACTTTTTTCACGACGCGAGCCTGCCTGGGTCTCCCGGAGGAGGCGGTGACCCCCCTGGTGGCCCCCCCCACCCCCCTGTGGCACTGCCCAGGGAGCGCCTGCGGCCCATCGAAGCGCACAGCCACTACGCGCACTTCCACGGCGCCGCCATCACGGACAGCGAGCTGGAGGCGCGCCCCCAGGTGGGCGACTCCAGAGAACGGGGTCGTCGGCGCCGACATTCGCGCGTAAGCTGCCCGCGTACGGCCGTGCGCAAGCGCCCTGGTCTCCACTGGCGTGCAGCGCCGGCGGCCCCCGTAAGCCACCGCGGAAGGTCGCTGTGCCATCTCGCGAGGACCCGCTTTTGATCGTCGCTCAGGTGCTGCTCGTGGGCCAGTACAGCACCGGGAAGACGTCGCTGATCAAGTGGGTGACGGGCATCGACAGCGCGTTCTTCGACATCCGCCCGCAGCCCAGCACGGACAAGTTCATGGCCATCGTGCACGGGGACGAGGCGAAGGTCATCAACGGCGACGCTGCCACGTGCCTGCCAGAGCTGCCCTACAGCGGCCTGTCGCAGCTGGGTTCAAGCTTCCTGTCCAAGTTCCAGGTGCTGGTTGAGCGCGCCGAGATTCTGAAGCAGCTCACTTTCATAGACACTCCTGGCGTGCTTTCTGGGGACAAGCAGCGGATAAGCAGAGGGTATGACTTCATGAAGGCGTGCTCCTGGCTAGCGTCGCGCTGCGACCTGATTCTGCTGCTTTTCGACGCTCACAAGCTCGACATCTCCGACGAGTTCAGGGAGGTCATCGAGGCGCTAAGCGGGGACGGCGACAAGTGCCGCTGCGTCCTTAACAAGGCAGATGAGATAGATGGGGAAAACCTTGTCAAGGTGTACGGAGCTCTGATGTGGAATCTTGGGAAAATCCTGCACACCCCAGAGGTCGCGCGCATGTACATCGGCAGCTTCTGGGACAAGGACTATCTAATGGCCTTCGGCCTATCCCGCCTCCGTGCCTGGGCTGTGGGTCAGAGTTCTGAGGGATGCGTCTCGGAGTCTCTTCGGAGCGCTCTCGGGGGCCTCGTGGGTGCAGTTTTTGGGCCTCTTTGGGGGCCTCTTGGGGGCCTCTTGGGATCTCCTGGGGGCCCCTCGGGGCCGAGGGCTCGAAGTGTCCGCTCGGGTCCCCCAACTGGGCCTCCTCTTGGAGCCGTCTTTGGGGCCTTTTGGCCCGTCTTGGGCGCCTCTTGGGCCGTCTGGGGATGCTCTTGTGCCGGTCTCGGGGCGATCTTGGGGGCCTCCAGGGCCGTCTGGGAGCGTCGGGAAGCCCAAACGTCGAGAACGCCAAAAATTTTCAAACGCCGTAGGGAATTCAATGATTTTGGCCTTTTGGGGCCCTCTTGGGAGGCCTCTTGGATGCCTTTGGGGCGTCTTGGAGGCCTCTTCGACCGTCTGGGCTAGGGTCCATCTTGAGCGTCTTGGAGCGATCGTTCGGCGACTCGGGGCCCTCTTGGACCGTCATGAGGGCCCTCTTCGCCCGTCTTGGGGCGCTCTTGGGCCCGAAACGGTCACGCGACAAGCCCCGAGAAGGCGCGGGAAGGCCCAGGAGATTGGTGCATTCGGGCTCTGGGCCCTGGAAGACTCCTCAGCAGTGCTCCAGGGATGAGGCAGAGGACCTGTGGACACGCCCCCTCCTGCGCCCAGCGGCACGGTGGCGGACAAGTGCCAGGACCTGGAGCGCCTGCTGAACCAGGACCGCAAGGACCTGATGCAGGAGCTGCACGACTTGCCGCGCAACGTCTGCGTGCGCCGCATCAACGAGGTGGTCGCCAGGGCCCGGGCCGTCAAGGTGCACCTGGCGCTCGGCGCCGCCCTCCGGGCCAGGATGCCCACGATCGGCCTCTGCGGTCGGCGCAGGCGGTGGGAGCGGTGGTGCTGCGACCGGATTCCCGACCTGTACCAGGAGGTCATCAAGGACCACCAGTTCGCGGCGGGCGACATGCCCCCCGTCGACCAGTTCCGGGAGCGGCTGCTGCTGTTCAAGGACTTCCGGCGCTTCCAGCGCTGGAACGAGAGGGAGGTGCTGGGGGCCCCCGGGCGGTGCGGTGACCATACCATGCGGTGAGTCAGTGCGGATTTGGGTCCTCCTTTTCATGTGGGGCCGAGGACAGCGGTCCGCCCTCAGCTACTCCCAGCTACTCCTCCTCCTCGCTTTGGGCGCCTGGGGCCTCCAAGGCCCCAAAGAGCCGTGCGGCGATGGGCCGTGCGTTGAGGTCTCTTGCGAATTTCCGAGGGCACCGCGCAGTCTGTCGCCGCACCGTTCCCTGAGATCCGTTGTGGCGAACATTATTGCTCGCGACACTGTGAAAGATCACGGGCGGACCTCTCGGCCCTGTCGTTCTGCGGCGCTTTTCGAGCCAGCTGGATCTGTGATGGCCCCTGGGCCCGAAGCGCTGCAAACTTGCCCGGCGTGAGAAAGAACTTGGCGCCCAGGTCCCACGGTTTGGGGGCGCCCCCCGAGAGGTGGCAGACCTGGACCGCCTCATCTCGGTGGACATCCCGCGGCTCTTGGGGAAGAACAAGCGGCACAAACATAAACTTTTGGATCGGCGCTGGCCCCCCCTCCCTGGCGCGCGGAGCGCGCCAGGGGCGTCGCCGGATGCGCCGCCAGGGTTACCCAGCGCAGATCCAAGAGACGCGAGTGGAGCTCCGAAAGTCTATGATGATGATGATGATTCTATGTTTTGCTGCTGTTGATGGTGATGACGGTGACGATGACGATGACGACGATGACGATGATGATCATGACGATGATGATGCTGATGAGGATGATGATGATACGATGATGATGCTGATGATGATGATGCTGATGATGGTGATGAAGATGTTTATGATGATGACGATCATCATGATGATGACGACGATAATGATGCTGCTGATGACGACGATGATAAAGCTGCTGCTGATGATGACGATGACGATGGTGATGACGACGATTATGACGACGCTGATGATGCTGCTGATGATGATGCTGATGATGCTGCTGATGAAGATGATGACGATACTGTTGATGATGATGCTGCTGATGATGATGATGATGATGATGACGATGCTGCTGCTGCAGATGATGATGATGATGATGATGATGATGATGATGATGATGATGCTGCTGATGATGATGATGATGATGATGAATGCTGATGGTAATGCTGCTGCTGATGCTGATCATGATGATTGTGGTGAGGATGATGATTGTGGTGATGATGATGATGATGATGATGATGATGATGATGATGATGATGATGATGATGATGATGATGCTGATGATGATGATGATTATGAAGAAAAGGACGAGGATGATGATGAGGATGATGATGAGGATGATGATGAAGATGCTGCTGCTGCTGCTGCTGCTGATGATGATGATGGTGATGGTGATGGTGATGGTGATGGTGATGCTGCTGCTGATGATGATGATGCTGATGATGTTGTTGTTGATGATGATGATGCTGATGATGATGATGATGATGATGATGATGCTGATGATGATGATGATGATGATGATGATGATGATGATGATGATGATGATGAGGATGATGATGATGATGATGCTGCTGCTGCTGATGTTGCCCGATTAGATGTTGTCGAGCTTTGACGATGTTGTTGATGAAGTGTGATGGTGGTTGGGGGATGTGATTTGATGATGCTCTTGATGCTGTTTTTTTTGTTCCTCGAGGCTTATGGCGCTCATCGGGGGCGTCTCCTCCTCGGGCCTCCGGGCGCGGCCCTGCGAGGCGGCGGCGAGGGCGGGCCCCGAGGGCGCCAAGGCGCCCAGGCCGGCGCGGGCGGGCCGCGGCCCGGCCTGGCGGGGGCCCTGCCTGGCGCTGCTGGCGCTGCTGCCGCTGGCGGCGGCGGTTGCCATGCACGCCGAGGCCGCGGACGCCGCCCTGCTGGAGCTGAGGCTTCGGGGGTCCTCCTCCTCCTCCTCCTCCTCCTCCTCCTCCTCCTCCTCCTCCTCCTCCTCTCCTCCTTCCCCCCCTCCTCCTCCTCCTTCCCCCCCTCCTCCTCCTCCTCCTCCCCCTCTTCCTCCTCCTTCTTCCTCCTCCTCCTCCTCCGCCTCCTCCTTCCCCCCCCCTCCCCGCTACTCCCCTCATCCTCCGCCTCCTCCTCCTCCTCCTCCTCCTTCCCCCTCCTCCTCCGCCTCCTCTTCCTCTCCTCCTCCTCCTCCTCCTCCTCCTCCTCCTGCTCCTCCTCCTCCTCCTCCTCCTCCTCCTCCTCCTGCGCGGGGCCTCGCCCGGCCACGCGGGGTGGCCCGGAGGGGAAGAAGGTGCGGAAGGCCTAAAGGGGAAGGCGCCCGAGAGCCTGGCGGCTCAATCTCTTCGGGCCGGGCGCCTTCCCAGTCAGTTTGGGTCGACTAGACGTAAGAGTGACCTTTCGCCGGAGTGACCTTTGGTGCGGGCACAGATGGGTCCCCAGATGGCTGAAAACGAAGCACTAGCAGCTGCTTGTGCGCCCAGGTTTGGTCCCCCCGCGGCCCCCAAAAAGTCGCGCACCAAAGGTCACTCTTACCCAGGGTCACTCTTGCGTGTAGCCGACTGGGGCCCGGGAGCCTCACAGGTCGCCTTGCTGAAGCGGAGGTTCGGGGGCTTCGGGGGTCCCTGAGGTCCTGGCGACTCAATTTTTTCGGGCTGGGCGTCTTCGCTCCATTTCGGGGCCCAGGGACCCTCCCAGATGGATCTGGCTCGAACAAGGACGCAGAAAGACGGGGTCCCGTCGTAATTTCGTGCGATGGTGCTGATTTTTTGCAGCGTCGGATCTCAGGGGTTCGGGGTTCCAGGTCTGTCGGCCTGGTCTGTCTCCTCCTGTCGTCGCCCCCCCTCCTCCCCTCCCCCTTCCCCTCTTCCCTCCTCGGCTCCTCGCTCTTCCGCTCTTCCGCCTCTCCTTTACCTGTCCTTCGCCTGGCCCGCATTTCTGTGTCGGCCCGTCGCTTATACCGAACTAAGAGTCGCGCGGGCTTGTGCCGATACAGTCATGTGTAGAGGTAAGTCGGGCCTGTCCCTCTGCAGGAGGAATGTTCGAAAATAGTAGAAAAATCGTCTGGGACGATGTTTGGCGTATTTTTGAGCATCTTTTCGACAGTTTTCATTTTTCCTCCAACATCCGCCTGAGGGGGACATGCCCGACCTAAGTGTAGAGCACCTTTCAGGGCCCCAGGTTCGAGGCTTCCGGGCGTTCTCCGCGGCTCTCGAGGGCTGTCCCGCCTCGGGGTGCGTTCCCTCGGCCACGCCTCGCCAAGAGGTGTTCCGGGGGGGGGGGCGGTGCCTGGGTCGTCGCGAGCGGCCGCTGGAGGCCCGAGGTGTGGGGTTCCGTCGGCGCGGTCGACGTGGGTGCGGCAAGAAGGGGTACGAACACCGACAGCAGCTCCTGTCCGTTTCGAACAGGACTCGCTGTCGGTGTCGTCGTGGTCCTTGTCCATTCGAGACGCATGTTCGCCTGCCCAGCTTTGGACAACATTTGTTGTTGGGCGTCGTACCTATTTTTTCCGTAACCATTTCGGGCGTCCAATTTCTAGGCCTCCTAGGTGGGATCGGAGTAGATGGGGTCGGGGGATTGCGCCGCATCCCCGATGCATCGGCGATGCGGGTCGATGTGGATCCCGATTTTCTCCACGTCGGCGTCGCCGATGCATCGGTGATACATCGACGATGCGACGAGATCCTCCGACCCCCTCAACTCCTACCCCATCTGGGAGGCCTCTGGAGGTCGAAGGAGAAAAACGGCATGAACATAACTTTCGGAGCATCGCGCAGATTTCCTGGATCTGCGCTGGAGCCCCCTGGCAGCGCCTCCTGCGCCGCCCCTGGCGCGCCCCACACGCCAGGGAGAGGGGGGCCTCAGCGCAGACCCACGGACTCCCCACAGTGCTCCGAGAGTTAGTGTTCCTGGTAGGCTCGCGTCGTGTCGACCGGCGGCGACCCTGCCGCGTTCAGCGTGGAACGCCGCTGGCGACCCAGAATCGGTCGATGTTGAACGATCCGACATGTCGGAAACGGCCGATCGTTCAAGGTTGAACTGCCCCCGTGGTGTCTGATAATGATGGTGATGATGATGACGATGATGATGATGATGATGGTGGTGGTGGTGGTGGTGGTGATGATGATGATGAGGATGATGATGATGGTGGAACTGCCCCCGCGGTGTCAGGATCCAACGCCGGGGTCGACGCGACGCGAGCCCGCGGCATGCCTTTTTCCCCCCCTGCGAGGGAGAGAAAACCAGTGCTCCCTCCCTCTGCGAGGGCGGCGGCGGCCCCCTACCTGGAGCACCTGCTGGGGCCCGCGGGCGACGGGGGCGAGCTCTGAGGCGGGTGCGGGCGCTGCGGCCCGGCGCACCGCGGCTCGCCCGCTCGCTCGGCCGCGCCCACCATCGCCGACGCCGCAGGCCTCGAGGAGGCGGACGGCCCGCGGGCTTCGGTGTCTCGCGCGTGCTCGGGCGCACGCTGCGGAGGGCAGGGCCAGGCTGATCTGTCTCAAGGGCGGAAGAGCCACCCAGAGCCCGACACCTGGCGTTTCCGAGAAGGCCCTGGGCGTTGACTGAACAGCCCTGCCCTGTTCGCCTCCTTCCTCGGGCGCGTTTACTGAACGGCTTCGTTTTTGTCGGGGTGCATACCATGGGGGTGGATGCTCTGCCCTCTAATCCGTCGTGCTCGATGTGCATTGTTGCCTCTGTGGCGCGAGCTTCACTGGGGAGGCGTGGGCGCCGCGTTCTGTGGACAGGCGCTTGTCGAAGGGTGCGCGTTCTGCGCTTTCACGCTTGCCTCAGGGAGCGGCGGTGGCCCTGCATTCGCAAGGGACTGCGACCCAGCGTGCTCTGTGTAGTTTCTGCGACGCGAGTTTCTCTGGGTGTGTGTGGGCGTCGCGTTCCGTCCACAAACAAGTCCGCGCTCTAGCTGTCCCTCGCCTGTGTGTGTTCCTTCCTTGAGGGACCACGAGTGACGCAAGGAGGCGATGTGACGCATAAGTAGGCGATCACCAGGAGTCTAAAGAGGCTCGACTTATTTGCGACTGGGCCGTCAGGCCACATGGAGTTCCTCGAGCGAGACCCCCTCTGACCTTTGTGGCAGGTGCTGGCGCTTACCCTGGTGATGCCACCAGCGTTTCACGGAGTGTGGCTGGGGTCCGCCAGGCCCTGTTCGCCTGATTGTGGGAGCAGTTTCGGCCCCAGGTGCCCCCGATCCAGTTCGCGCCAGGAATTCCCAGGAGCCTTTGGGAGTTCACAGGGGCGACCGAAAGGTCCACAAGGGCCCAGAAGGCACCTGGAGGCCGCTCAGGGGAGCTCTGGGAGGCCCACTGTCGCCCGAGTGAGCCTTCTCCTCGCTTTTGGACGCTGGTCAGGCTTTAGCTCGGCGGCTGAAGCGTTCCTCTCCTCCTCGCTCCTCCTCCTCCTCCTCCTCCTCCTCCTCCTCCTCGCTCCTCCTCCTCCTCCTCCTCCTCCTCCTCCTCCTCCTCCTCCTCCTCCGGGGTCATCTGCCCGACGCGCCCCGCACCCCGAGCCATCGCCCACCTCGGGGCTCCCCGGGGCTCCTCGTGGTGGCCACCCGGACCTCCCGCGCCCACACAGACACCAGAACGCCCAGTTCTCTGTTCCCAGGCGCTCCTTGGTCGGGCTCGCGTTTTGGATAGAGCACAGCGGCAACGTCTTCCTCCTCCTCCTCCTCCTCCTTCCCGCCTGCCTTCTTGTCTCTCTCTGTCTCCTCTCTCTCTCTCTCTCTCCCTCTCTCTCTCTCTCCCTCTCTTTCTCTCTCTTTCTCGTTTTTTTTTTTGTTCTCTCTCTCTCTCTCTCTTTTTTTTTTTTTTTTTTTTTTTTTTTTTTTTTTTTTTTGTTTTTTTTTTTTTTTTTTTTTTCTCTCTCTCTCTCTCTCTCTCTTTCCTCTTGTCTTGTACCTCTCTCGTACCTGCCTCTGGCCTCGCCACCCCTGGGGGGCTGCGATCTGCGAAACTGTCGCCACTTTCGGGGGACTGCTGGGGAGGCCAGCACAGAGGGGCCCCACCCAGATTAGATTAGACCTTCCTAGGGGGGCTGCGACCTGCGAAACCGTCGCCACTTTCGAGGGCGGCTGGGAGGGCCAGCACTGTGGGACTCTACCCAGATTCAGATTCGACCTTGCCACCCTTGGGGGGCTGCGACCTTCGAAACCGTCGCCACTTTCGAGGGCTGATTGCTGACATACCTCGAAACATCATTTCTCTTCTTCGTATGACCGTCTTTTGTCGACACTCTCGTGCTGCTGCCATGTCCTTTTGCTGCTGCCCCACTTTCGTTTCAAATTCCCTGTCCGCCTTCGTCTCTTAGTCCTTGCCCCTCTTTCCCCTCGACCCAGGGAACCAAATAGCCTTCATCAGCCCTTGTCCATGGATCGGTGTCCTGCGAGTCGCGCGCCTCGCGAGCCTTCCAAATACCGCTCACAGAACATGCATCTCTTTGCCACGTTATCACCCCCTGAAAACGTCTACCCAGCTATTCTCGCCATCGTTGCGCAAGGGTTGGGTACATCGCCAGGGCCATTGTTTTACGAGTCTGGTCTTCCAAGGGCTTGTCTCGGTCCTGGCGGCCCTACCGTACCTACTCCTTCCCCTTCCCCTTCCCATTCCCCTCTCCTTCCCCTTCCCCTTCCCCTTCCCCTTCTCCTTCCCCTTCCCCTTCCCCTTCCGCTTTCCCTTCCCCTCCCCTTCTTCCCCTTCCCCTTCCCCTTCCCCTTCCCCTTCCCCTTCCCCTTCCCCTTCCCCTTCCCCTTCCCTACTTCCCCTTTCCCCTTCCCCTTCCCCCTTCCCCCTTCCCCTTTCCCCTTCCCCTTCCCCACTTCCCCTTCCCCTTCCCCTTCCCCTTCCCCTTCCCCTTTCCCCTTCCCCTTCCCCTTCCCCTTCCCCTTCCCCTTCCCCTTCCCCTTTCCCCTTCCCTTCCCCTTCCCCTTCCCCCTTCCCCTTCCCCTTCCCCTTCCCTTCCCTTCTCCTCTCCCCCCTCCATCTCCCCTTCCCATTCCCACCCATCTCTTTCCCCCTTCCCCTCCCCCCTCCTCTCCCCTTCCCCTTCCCCTTCCTCCTTCCCCTTCCCCCTTCCCCCTTCCCCTTCCCGCTCCCCTTCCCCTTCCCCTTCCCCTTCCCCTTCCCCTTCCCCTTCTCCTTCCCTTCCCCTTCCATTCCCCTTCCCCCCCTTCCCCTTCCCCTTCCCCTTCCCCTCCCCTTCCCCTTCCCCCCTTCCCTTCCCCTTCCCCCCTTCCCTTCCTTCCCTCCCCTTCCCTTCCCTTCCCTTCCCTTCCGTTCATTTCCTGTCCCTATCCTCTTCCTCCTCCTCCTCCTTCTCCTCCTCCTCTTCCTCCTGGGCGTACGAGTCCTCCCGCGAGTATGAAGATGAGGAGGCAGTTTCTCTTCCTTTCTTCTCCAACTTCTCCGTCTTCGTTCCATCCTGCCACCTCTCTCTTCTCCCTCCTCCCCTCTCTCTCCCTGGTCCCTCGTCCTTCGTCCCTTCTCCCTCCTCCCTCCATCCCTCACTCCATTCTCCCCCCCCCTTCCCCCTTCTCTCCCCTTCCCCCCCATCTTTCCCCTTCTCTTCCCCCTCCCTTCTTCTCCCCCCTGCTCGCCCCTTTTTTCCTCCCCCTTCCCAACCTTCCCCCCCCCCTTCTCTCCCCCCCTCCCCCCCTCTCCCGTCTCCCTCCCTCCCTCCCTCCCTCCCTCCCTCCCTCCCTCCCTCCCTCCTCTATCCTCCATACCACCTCCTCCCTTCTTCCTTTCTCCTGCCTCTTCCCTGCCTGCCTCTCTCCCTTCCTCCGCCCCTCCCTTCTCAGCCCCCCCCCCCCACATCCCACATCCCATGCCTCCTCCCCCCCTCCCGCCCTCGCCTCCTCCCTCGCCCATTCTCCCTCCGCCCATTCTCCCTCCTCCGGCCTCCCTCCTCCGGCCTCCCTCCGGCAGTGCAGACAGAGGCTCAGCTGCCTCGATGTGCGGGAAGGCTGCGTGCTGCGTGTGGCTTTCGACACGGTCTGGGCCATGGCTTGGACTTCCAGCGGCCGCTCGGGACGATGTTCGGGCACCCGCGGGAACGCTCTCGGCGAGGCACAGCTGCCCGAAAACACTTCAAGGCTGGCCTCCTGGAGCCCACGGAAATGGTTGGGGAAGGGGAAGCCGCAGGAAGCAGGCTGCTTTCTCTCCTGCGCGACACCTCGCCTCCTTCTCCTCTTCCTTCCTCCTCCTCCTCCTCCTTCCTCCTCCTCCTCCTCCTCTTCCTTCCTCCTCCCCCTCCTTCCTTCTCCTCCTCCTCCTCCTCCTCCTCCTCCGCCTCTTGTCGGTGCTAGACGACCCTGTTGGAACCAACGGAAGCGCCCGAAAACCTCGACGTGGGCGCTCGTCTTGGTGGATGCTCCAGGACAGGCCGTGACATCCGCATGTTTTTTGTTTGTTTGTTTGTTTTTGTTTTGTTTCTGCGGCCCCGACCGCATCCCTGGGGGGATTTTTGTCGTTCCCGATTCCTTTCTGATGGTCCCAGGGCCCGAAGAACGCGCCCGAGGGCCGAGATGAAAGGACCATCGCCCGAGAGTGAAGGAAACGTTCGGACTGTGGGAGAGGAGGTAGAGGAGGAGGAGGAGGAGGAGGAGGAGGAGGAGGGGGAGGAGGAGGAGGAGGAGGAGGAGGAGAAATTGGATGATGATGATGGTGGATGATGTGATGACGGATGATGATATGATGATGATGATGATGATAGTGATGATGATGATTATTGATGATGATGTGATGTAATGATGATGTGATGATGAGATGAGGAGGAGGAGGAGAGGAGGAGGAGGAGGAGGGCGAGGAGGAGGAAGAGGGAGGGATGAGGAAAAAGGAGGCCTAGAGATCTGCGAGCCCCCCTCTTGGGCGCCTCCCCTCGTTGCGCGCGCCAGCGACCTTCTACCCAGCCCCCTACGTGCAGAGGCCGAGGCCGCCGCCGGCGCGGCCGCGGAGGCGGCCGCGGCGGAGGCGGCGGCGGCTGGGGCGGCGGCGGGCTGGCGCTGGGCCTGGCTCGCGGAGCGGGATGGGGGTGAGGGGCGGTGGGGGATTGGGGGCGGAGAGGGGGAGGGGACGGGGAGGGATGGCGAAGAGAGGGGGAGGGGGGGAGGGGGGGAGGGGGAGGGGGGAGGGGACAGG